ATATATATATAGGTCCTTTGGAGATATATATATATTGGAGATATATATATATTGGGTCCTTTGGAGATATATATTTTTATATATCTCCAAAGGACCTCAATGTGTTGTTCAGGCTGACAGTCTTTAAATATACCTTTACATGTATTCAGTGATTATTATAATCGGCACATGAATATATTGGCACATAGAGGTTTTGGGGTTTTCTTTTAATCAACTCAGCACTTCATTCATTTCTTATTTAAGATGAGGTGAAATAAAAGATATAAAACTGAGATAGACCTGAATGCTTGATCATCTCTAATATGAAAACCCTACCCTAACAGGATAAAATTTTTTAATGTATTGGGCTGATTCTGGTTAATAAAATTATATAGGTTTCAAATGTACAATTCAATAATACATCATCTGTATAATGAATGCATTGTGTTCACCACCCAAAGTCAAGTCTCCTTTCGTCACCATATATTTGACCCTCTTTACCCTTATCTACCTCGCCCCCTCCCCGTTTTCCCTCTGGTAACCACTCAGCTGTTGTCTGTGTCTATGAGTTTTTGTTTCTTTATCTAGTCAAAACAGAAGTTGGGGGATACTTCCTTTTGCATGGAGACTATTCAAGGTTGGAGAAAGTGGCTGATTCTGCTGCAGCTTGTGTGCTCGTTCAGAGCCAACTGGCACCTTTTTGTGAACAGGTGCATGAAGAGACTCCAATGCTGACTGGATTAAGATTAATGGAAGCCTATTGTTAATGACAAGGATTATCAATGAGACAGATCAGATTCTGATTTGATGGACAATGAATCAATGCAAGAGACATACATGCCCAAGTTGGAAATGGAGGAAAAAAGATACAGTGGGTTCCAGCAGCAGCAGATAGAAGGCTTTCACTAAAGACAGAGCTTGCTACTCTACAACTCTTGTTTTTACTGACAAGAATACCATCTCATTTAGAAAATTTAGTTGTATGCCGTCCTGACTGCTACAGTATAGTTTTCTGTATTCTTTCTTTTCCTCTCCCCCGATTCCTGTATTGTATTTAAAGGAACTGGTGTCTCAACATAAGTGTGTTGCTTTAAAAAAAAAAAAAAAAAACTAATCGGTAATAGCATATTTTGATCAACATCAAATGAAGAAGCAGGGGAAACCCACATCTGTGAAACTACCTCCTCTTCCATTAGTAGCCTGTACACTCGACTTTTATGCTCCATGCTCCATTTATGCATAGATTGTTGATTGTTGCGTTGCCAAATACTTGTTGCTGCTGGCATGCATCAGAAGATAGATGATTTCATGCATAATAGGTGTATATAATAGGAAAATTTTTATTTTCCTAGTCCAGTAAGACATTTTATACTCAATAAACATCCTTGCTGATTTTGTTTAAATGGAAGATTTTGATGTCTTTATCACTATGATGCCACAGACACTTCTATAATTTTTTGTATGAGGTTGTTACATGTAATATGTTTTTAAGTGGGAATAAATGACTTTAAAAGAAATGAATCCCAGATTGGTTTTCCATAAACCAAGTGTCTTCTTGTTTAAATAAACTTATTAAAAAAGAAATGACTGAGGAAGGAGATTCACCAGAAAAAAATAACAGTACACGCTCTGGTCCATTTAACTGGCTGTGCCAGCGATGTTACAAGAGCCAGGATTCTCTTCCTTTGGATCATAGTTTTTTCATCAAAATGAAAACAATTTCCACCCTACACCATCAAATGCTTAGATGTTTGTGAAATATTTGGAAAGCATCAAAGCTAGTATATTATCAAATCTATTGGTTCAGTAGCTGCATATGTCTAAGAAATTAACTACATATTTAGATGAAACAAACAGAATGAAGAAAACTAACATTAAACACCTACTGTATGCTCAGACATTCAAGGTGTTTCACATTCTTGATTCTATTTTATCGTCACAACAACCCTGTGAAGTCAATATTATTGCTAAGGTTAAAAGGGATTAAGAAATTCATCTAAGGCACACGACTGCCAATGACTGAAATCTGGATTGGTTCCAAAGATATTCTAGCAGAAAAACTCTCCTATCAAGTGAAATCTTAAGTCAAATCCCAATCCATAAAACACTATTTCATGTGAGTGTGTGTGTGTGTGTAACATGCTTATCTACAATTTGTTAAATTCAAAGTGAGTAGTTTTTATTATCTTTTTAAAGATTTAAAAATACATCTAAATTGAAATTTGAATGAATAGTGCAGAACCTTAAGAGAACCCAGGGTTGCAAGGATTCGCAATTTAAAAGGTACTGCACCCTTACTTGCCTCCTTCATGCAGGTTCATCAACATTTACGCATTTATAAACCTCACAATTGTTTCTTCATTGATCCCTACAGCATTAAGTATACTCACAAAACTCACCACAGTCACAGAGCACCACGAACAATAGATTTGAAAAGTCTTTCAACATTCGTTTCATTCTGATCAGCAAAATCCCAGGTCTTTGGTCTCCTCATGTCCTTTCTCCCATCCAAATTGTGACTTTTTTTTTTTTCAAAAACACCTGAAAGTAGAACCTCAAAAAAATGATGGCTCTGTTCAATATCACCCTTAAAATAGTAATAATGAAATGATAAAAAAATATTCTAAAAGTCAAACTTCCTAGGTGATATTGAAAACAGAAAGGACACTAATTTTCACTGGGGAAATAACCTGTAATTATGCATGTCCCTTTTGTTCCATTACAGGTTACCTGTTAAGAACATCTGGGATACCCAACATCAAGATTATTTTTGCAAAGACCAAGTCTCATTTTATTGTAGCACATCCTAAAGTGGAGTTTGTTACTTGCTTAATGTCATCAAAGCTAATAGCCAATATGGATAATACATCTTCACATATTTATCTGCTTGACATTTCACAGTGATTTACTAAACTTTAGCAAATTTACTAAATTTTTTGCTAAACTTTTACTTTGCATTGTGCTGCGTAGCCCTGCCTTGCTTTCACAAATAGGCTTACTGTTTTTCTTGAACAACTGGTATGTTATCTGGATTGCTTCATTTCTTTATGCCTAGGAGTATACCAAAACTATAAAACCTTTTTAAAAAGATACCCAAGAATACTGTGAACTCCATGTGGCTATGACTTCCCTTGTTTAGAGAACTCTAAAGAGAAAACAGAGAAATAACAATTATCATCATGTCAGTCTTCTAGTACTTGTTGCTGCTGGTATGCATCAAGAGATAGATGATTTCATGCAGCAATCTTCCCAGACCACCTAGGAGGGCAGGAAAGACCTTGTCAGCCTGTGCTTCAGAATGGTTTGTGGGAGAAGGCACTCACTTTGATATAAACAACTGTTAGACTACAGAATAAGATGTTGGGCATTTAAGTACCTCTTTTTCCCACACTAGAGTCTAGTAAACTGTAGGCTACTAAACATAACCAAATATATATTTTCTTCATGTTTATACTCCCATTATCGTTAATAACTTTAATAAATATAGTATATTCCAAAAATATGTATGTTACAGCCATTCAGATAAGACAAGAATTAATTGAATTAAAAGGACTGAAATAATCAAAAATTCACTGGAAAAAAGAGCTGATGTGTCTCTATTATCTTTCTTTCTAGAGGAGTTGGTTGAACAAAGGAAATACTGTACTTCTTCAAAGGGAAGCAGAGATTTGAAGCATAATTATGCAGATGATTAGGGCTCCATTCCCTCCCCAACAACAACAAAAAAAAGAAAATTCAGTATTGATGGAATTAGGCACAGATTTGACCTAAATCCTTTCTTTGAACATGGACTGGTAAACTTGGCCAAAGGCAGAAGGTGAGCATCATGTATCACCCTGGCAAGCTGGGGTGCTTAGGGCAATTAAAACACGAAGTCACTGATAATTCAGTAACTACAGCGAGGAAAAACAAGCTATCCCTAGTTCCCAGAAGGTGAACTGGCTTCTCCCAACCTGCTTGCTTCCCTGCGATAAACGTTTTGTAAAGAAGCTCCTAATTACATCTAATTTTGTCATTTTGACACATTTTCCTTAAGAAAATGAGTAGTAAAACCTAGAACAGTGCGATAATCTATATTTAGGACTGAATGAGAATGGAATTATAAAATAAACCAGCCTATCTGAAATCATTTTATGAATTTTTTTAGTGTTCCCAACCTTTGAAAACACTTATTTTAACTAGCTCAACCATTAATTTGAGGACTCTAACAGAGTACCCCAGAATGGAATGAGATGCTAGGTAAAAAGCACTACATTTAAAAAAGATATAGCAAATTTTTTGTAATCTTGCTTGCTTAATTTAACCCATTGTGTTGTTCCTAATACAGTTCAGCTACTTATAATGTTTGACTTGAGAATTGTTTTGAGAAAATAAGAACTTAGGTATATTTTCTGCACATTAAAAATACTTCCATATAGCATTTACAGACATAACCATTTAAAATTCTAAATGCGTCAGCTAGAGGGTTGGTGGAAGTTGTGAATATTCTCAATGGCTAATGGCATCACGCCAAGCTCGGATCCCATGTTTTTGGTGAAACCAGTTAAGATAAACCCCTACAGTGTCCTCACAGCTGTAGAAAAAAAGACAATACATTACGCTTAAAACTCATGGGATCGATGGTTTATTAAAGAATAAAAGGGAAAAGAAAAAGAGGCAAAGTGATTTTGAACCTTCTGACAAACCTGCACATGCTTGTGTGTGTATACATCTAATAATAATGATATTTATTAGGAGGAAATCCCTAATTCCAAAGCGGCCTGTGTAAACTTGCTTTATTTATAATGCAGTCCAGTGGGCTCTGCCCTGTCCCACGGGTTGGATGCAGCTTCCCGGGGAAGCTGTGTGCACTCCCCACATCTACTCAGCTTTCCAAAGTCCCCCAAGTCAAGTTCAAGCTTGGAAATGTAGCCCTGTGCGTGTCGTCAAAGCACTCTTAAAATGAGGTCCGTTTTGAAATGCTTATATCTCATACTCTTTATATCCCAGAAAGGATTTCTTTTCCTTAAGAAGCCAACTTGTTCTGAAACCCCTAGTAACTTGTTCTGAAACTCTTAGTATCCCAAGACTCTCTTCTTCAAGGGTCCCAACTATTCGGACTTAAAACCCGTCTACAGTCGGCCTCAGTCCCTTGGCAACACCTGCGCCCCGGGAGAGCCGAAGTCAGGCAAAGGCGGGACTCGTAGATAGGAAGACGCGCACATTTAGAGCTTGTCCCCTGGGAGAGGAGCTGAGCTCCAAGAGAACAGGAAAAGGGGACTGGGTGCGTCGAGGGACTGGCACCGTCCACCTGTGCTTTCGGGCTGAGGGGAGGGGTGGGGGCGGCAAGGTCCGGGAGGCACTGCCAGAGCCCGGCGGAGCCGCAGAGGCCCCGGCGGCACAGGAGCGCCCACCGGGTCGCAGAAGGCTCTTCTTACCTCTCGGAACTGGCGGGAGCAGCGGCCCGGCCCGGGACGAGCGTGGTAGCGAGGAGGGCGCGGGCAAGAAGCCTCAGGGCCCACAAGATCGCACGCCGAGCCTCCCGCGTCCCGGGACTGCGCGCCCCGCCCGCTGCGCTGGCCTCCCGCAGCCCCACCCCGGCCCGCCCCCGACGGCGCGGGTGGGCGGCACCCGGAGGGCGGGGGACCGTCGCGAGCTGGCGAGGCCCCACCCCGCCCGCCCCGGGCAGCGCATCCTTTCCTGCCCGCTGGCCCGCTGGCCCGCTGGGGACGGGAAACGCGGCAGGAAACGTGCGCAGCTCGCCAGGGCCTGCAGGAGTGGGCGCAGACCCCCCACCGACACACACGCGCGCATAGCCCGCAGGCGGGACCCCGGTTTTAAGGGCGAGCCAGCGGTCTCCGGACCTTTCAAATTCAATCACTTCTCCCTCGTGTCATGTTCTTTTGGGGGAACACAAAGTAAGTCATTGAAGTGACATAACTGGTGGGCTGTAAACATGGCTTCCCCCAAAACTTGGTTTCTCAAATGTCATTAAAGACTTTCAAAAGAAAACAGTTCAGGTAAAATGCATATCCGTGTTTCTTTCTCAGGCGCCAGAATTGGTTAATTTTAAAATCACATTCTTAAAATTCTAATCTGCAGGTGTTAAAAGTTCTTTTTAAAAGAATACGGAGTTCCCCGTTGTTGAACAGCTGTGGTTGTTTTTGAGTACCTTATAATGTGCAACACCGTTCACACCATTTGCTCTTCTTTTACACAAAATATACCATTTAATAGACAAAACTAATGTGTGATAATATAAATCACAGCACAGTGGTGGCCACTGGGGAGCAAGTGCTTGGAAAGAGGCACCAGGGAACTTTTGGGATGATAAAATCTATTGGTTAGGGTGTGAGTTACATGGACTATGCATTTGTCCAAACTCCACCAATTTAAGATCTGTGCATTTTGCTGTTTGTAAATTTTACCTCGATTTTTAAAACTCAAAAAATATAGCTTCCTGAACAAGCCTAATCCCGTCTGATCTCAGAAGTTAGCAGGGTTGGGCCTGGTTAGTACTTGGATGGGAGACCACCTAGGAAGACCAGGTGCCATCGGTGGAAAAAGTAAAAAAATAAGGGATTGTAAACTGACAAGGTCCTTGCAATGTGAGGTCAACCAAAGGTTGCCTCACATAAAGAAAATAAATAAAAAATATAGCTTTTGCAAGTCCTTGACTATCACTTAATTTTTTAAAAGGTAGCACAATTATTCAATTATCAGAGTTATCAGAGATTGTCAGAGGTACCAAATTTTGTCAAATACATAATTCTGGCAGTACTAATTAAATCTATCCCAAGCTTCAAGAAAGGCTGTAAGGCCATCCATCATCCAATTCAACTGCCAGTAGAATTACCTAGTCCATTATCCATTCATCAACACAAGCTGGGACTCCTTTTCAAATACAGGCTATGGCCGCTGGCATTTTCAGTTCTGAAAGCGAAAGCTCAATTGAAAAAGTGGGCTTTGGAGTTTATACATAAAGCTGACATTAATTTCAGCCCTGTCTCTGTAATGGTGGGCAAATGACTTAATCCCTCCTTACTTCCACTGTAAAAGGCATATAGTATTAGTTACATTGAAGTCTCTTAGTGACTGAGTGAAACATATAGAAAGCAACTTGCTCTGCATAAATATTTCAGACACATACACTCCTTTAGAGACCCATTCTTGAGGGGTAGAACTTAAATCGAGGTACAAATGGCTGGATCAATGTGCTTGGCCATTTTTGCCTTAATTAGAATTCTTACCAAATTGTATTATTGTATTTATTGGACAGTTAAAATAGTTTAAGCTTTTCTAAAAGAAGGCAACACAGACATGAAGAAAAAAAGCTTTCAAATTAACAGTGGAATAGTCTTGACATATTTAACTAAAACAAGCTGGCTGTCAAGATATCTTCAATTCTCTTTCTGGGTCAGCAGCTGCTTTAATGATCTTGTGCAAATTATGTAAAATTTATTCACTTTATACGAACGGAGAGATCTTTTATTTCCTAGCTAATACTCTGAGAGAAAAGCTTTAACTGACTCATGGTAGGACACAAGGAAGAATACGAATGACCCAATTTTCACACTGTAATAACAAGATCTTACATGTGTTAACCTGACTTTTCGGGAGTACTTCCCACATCATGGATATGGCCATGTCATGGAATTAAATAAGAGACTGTATCTCAGACAAGCTAAGCTCTGACATGCCTGACTGAGAAGTCTGTTGGGAAAATAGTAAAAGACACCGATTTAGGTTTTGCAAGTCAACTCATGATATATTATAATCCCCAAATCACTCAATTCAGTTACTTTAATTAGGAATATACCATGTACAATCACTGACCTAGGCCAGTGGGAATTCAAAAGAAGTGTTATATGACAGTCCTTGAACTTAAAGAAACCCAATTTTTCTATTTTCTTATAGTACCAAGATCATAATTAGAGAATACAAAATATAGTCAAGCATTTTGAATAGACAATAACTTTTATGGACTTTAGAAATAGAGTTGTGTACTGGAAACAAATTTTTCTACAGCAGGTGGGATTTGATTAATAGGAAATGAGTGGGAAGAAGTAACAAAAGGAAGTCTGGACAGACAAGGGAAATATGTCCCAGGAACAAAAAGGGCCACCCTGTGCTGTTCCCTTGACCCCGATGCCTTCCACCTACTGCCAATCTCTTGGTCCTTGCGAGCCTAGTTTACCACACTCTTCCTCTCCCACAGGCCTTCCCAGATCTCTCCATCCTAACTAAGGGCTCTTTCCTCTGTCTTTGGGGCATGCACTTCATTCCATCCTCAATTAAGTTTGCTCACATGTCTATTTCCCCAACTAGGCTACCTCTTAAGGGTAGCCTTATTTGATAAACGCTGTATCTTATTTACTTTTGTAGCCCCATCCACCAGAGGTCCAAAAGTTCCTCACACTAAGTTGGTGTGTAGTCAAAAAAACGTTTGTTTGTTTTTTTTTTTAGTTTAATTGAATGGGAGATAAAGTAAGATAAAGTGGAGCCAAACTATAAATAGGTCTATACATCAGAGTTCATTCATTCAATAAATATTTATTGAGTGCTTACTGTGTGCCAGGCCCTGTTCAAGGCTCTGAGGATATATCCATGAACAAACCAGATAAAAATCTCTGCCCCTGTAGAGCTTACACTCTAAATCTATCATAAGAGATGAGATCAGCAATAAATTTATATAAATTCAACCATACCTGTAGGCAAAAAAAGATACACATTTAAATAGTTTAATTATAAAACTCTACTGTTAATATGAAGTTTTTATTATACATTGTACTCACTATAAAGTATTCATACCTACAGAGATTCTAATTGTAGGATTATATTTTGTAGTTTATTGGCAATTTAACTGCGTTACAAGCATCATTTTGAGCATGCTTGATTTCGTCCTTAGGCAGTCTTTAAAACCTAACCACTTTTTAAGTTGTGACTCTACTGTACCAAAATGAAAACTTTGAGATTGTTGGGCAAAGGACCATTTTACGTATTGGAACATGAAAATGACATGATGAATCCTCATCTCGTCACATTAGTCTGGTAACAGGGAACAAGAGATAGTACATTCACATGAATATATGTCATCGATCGATAGTGATCTTCATATCAAAAATTTAAAAAAAAACTAGTTCACTAGCCACTTCCATTTTTTTAAAACAAATAAAATACTAAGAGCTTGAGGTCATAAATATTTATAATCAAGTCTTGATTATAAAATCTAAAAGAACAAATTGTAACATACTGGCTTATTCTGAATAAAAGTTTATCATTTTTATATCAAAGAGTATTTAAAAAGACACCAAGAAAAATCATTTTTTTAATTTTGCAATAACTTTACTCTATATACATTAATACCAATCATTTAACCCTAAAAACAGTCTTCACTTGTGTAAGTAAAAAATTTTTATCAGTATGTGACTAGAAATATTTACCATATAGCTACAGGTTTATGCTCTTAAGAGCAAAGAAAGGAAAGCAAATAATTATACCAATGATAAGCACCAAGACAGAACTTTTTTGCCCTTAGGGCCTGATTGGTTGTATTTAAACATAACAGAGGACCAAAATAATAACTTATTTGACAGAAAAAAATCACACACACACACAGGTGTGGAAACAGTGAAGAATGCCCACTTAAAATAAAACAATAAAAGAAACCATACTTAGTTTCTAATTAATGTGACGTTTGCAAAATATATTCATGTCATTTTACTGCCTCTTTAGTTCACTTTATACAATTCAGACTGCTCTATTTTTGTTCATGTGTTGTCACACTAATGTAAGAAAATATGCTGAATTATGGGAGTTTGCTGTAATGAATCCAAACCATTAAAGCTAGATCCCAATAACTCAAACTATCTTAGCTCCAACTCATTCCAAGTGGTGAAACAGATTATTCTTTATCTTTGTAATTTTTAAAAACCTTAGCCAGATGAGATATGGTGTGTGTAAGTACACGTGTGTGCACACGTGCATGTACAAGTCTTCCAGAGCAGTGTGAGAGAATGAGCACAGCCCAGAGAGGGGAGTGACATATAAACAAGCTTACACAATGGCCTGAAAAGCTTGGGCAGACAGACACTGTGTTTTCCCCAAAACAGACCTGAGGCTGAGCAATGAGGAAATTAGGGGATCTGTCATTACATCATAAAATCAGTGACAAGTTTGGAAAACGAAGACTAAGACAGATGCCTCAGCCATATTTCCAAGACACTGGAGAATGCAAAGCAGTGAAACCACTTTTCAGCAGGCAGTGATCAGGAATGCTCTGGAGGGATTTCCTGAATTTGCAACTGAAGATCCCTGTGACTTTTCCAAAGAGCACCTGTAGCAAGCAGCCTGTGGCAGTGGCCCTCCACTTCAGTGAGAATGTCTTAGGGACCCCAGAGTGGGAACCTGGGCATCGCCTCCTGCTGGTCTCAATGGTCTCTCAATATGGATACTTATCCCTTCCAGAGGCCTGGCCAAAAACTATCACTACCTTCCACTTCTCAGTCTCAGAAAGAGGGTCTCTCCTGTGCCTGTGGGGTCCCTGAGTCTGAGGTAATGCCAACACACTGTCTGTTGCATAGGACAAACATATGAAGTCAGGGAGTTCACTTTAACACTCAAGCAGTCTGAATGCAGTATTAGCCAGTTTTTGTTGCCTCAGTAAAAATTTTCAGCAG